TACAATAATAACAAAAATATTTTTTAAAAAAATTTATAACCCTGCGAAACTACAGAACAGTTGTGCTTTCTCCTTCAAAGTCATTGTTGTTGATGTTAAGAAGTAGAGATTTTTAAGACTTGCAAGTTTATACTTCAGTGTTTGTTTACTCTGGAGCAAAAATTTAAAACCATAATGCTTTGGAATACGAAATAGGTGTGTTTATAGGAAGGCAAATCCCAAACTCATGGTGTAAGGCATTTCCAACTCATAGCTACCATCCATGATGATTAATAAATATGAGTTGAAGGGAGCTCTGGTGGCCCAGTGGCAAGAAGTTGCACTGCAATTTCAGAGCTGCGCAGTTCTAATCCACCAGATGCTCTCCTGGAGAAAGAGGGACAATCTCCTCCTGTACCAGTCAGATCTGATTTGATGGCGCGCGCGCACACACACACACACACACACACACATGAGGGACAATCTCCTCCTGTACCACTCAGATCTGTTTTGATGGTGTACACACACACACACACACACACACATACACACACACACATAAATAAATATATATTAAAAATAATAATAAATATCAGTTGATTCACAGCTGTCCTTGAAAGTACTTTTTTACATTGTTGTTTTTAGGTATTATTGAGTCAAGTACAACTCATAGTGACTCTGTGAACAACAGATTTGAACCCTTCCTATTTTCAAATAGAAAATTAATAACAGTACCAATCTACTTAATAAGATAGGTGATCAATTAATTCAGTATTTTAAAATAAAAGCAGGTAGTTCAATAGTAATAAGACATTTTCTTAGTATCATTATACTTGACTCTGAAGACAGTACTAAAAAAGGCAAACATTAGAAAATTATTTTGATAAGCATTGTTGAGATAAAATTTGGTGATGTTGTTAGGTGCCCTTGACAACCACGTCTCAGCAATACTGTGAAGAATAGATTGAAGCCTTGCCTTGTCCTCCACATCCTCACCATCTCTGTCATCCTCAAGCTCATTATTGCATTCACGATGTCATTCCATGTCCTGATGATTTTCCTTTGTTTCTCTGATCCTATACTTTTTCAAGCATGATGGCTTTTTCCAAGGACTGGTGCCTCCTGACAGCACGCCCAAAGTATGTGTGTGTGAGGACGTTTCCTCATCCTTGCCTCTAAAGAGCAGGCTGCTTTTGCTCTAAGATGCTACAATAACAAAGGAGCCCTGATGGTTTACATGTTGGAGTGCTAACTAAAAGTCAACAGTTCAAATCTACCAGTTACTTCACAGGAAAAAGATGAGATGGTCTCTTTCCAGTAAGATTTATACCTTCGAAACTTGATGGAAAGTCATTAGTGAGTCAGGATCAACTTGATGGCAGTAAGCGTGATAGTTTTACCAAGGCAGCCCTAATTGGACTCAGTAGGTCCTTCATACTTGTATGAAATTACTTAATACAGTTATTTAGATAAGAAAACTTTTGAAAGTTTTTCTTTGCAGCAAGTACAGAAGCTAGCACCTGAGGGAAAAAAAAATATTACAAGGAAGGGAAGTTTTCAGGGAGTATTTGTAGGTTAGGTGAAGGACTCATGTTTATTTAGCACTTTTAGTAGGGAACATAGGAGTTATCTTAGAAAAGGAAATATGATGCAGATCAGGAGACGTGCACAGCTGGTCTTTAAATGGAGTTTATCTGGTGAGGTGCTTTGTCATTGTCGACATGCCCTGTAGGTCTCTTCTTCCTCTGGAAAGTGACCGTTTTTTGCTTCTGCATGTGCTTGGCACCTGAAATATCTTTCAGGTAAATTAAAATGGGTGTTGTTAACCAAGTGAAAGATTGTTAGGAAAGAGCACTTGGAGCTGTATTCACTGAATTCCAGGTTACTTACGTAGAGGGTGAGCCTGAGCCTTTGATAAACAAGTATCACCTCTTTGATTCTGTCTTAGGAGGAAAATTATTTTCTAGAAAAGAAAGGTAGTTTTACTCAGCATATCACGTACAAAGAAGAAAATGAGAAACAGGAAGTTTATGATCAGAGCAAATGTAGCAGTATCCAGTTAAGGTTTTTCTTTCCTGCTGTTGTTGTTGTGTGGAGAAAATTGCTCATTATTCTCCCGCGGAGCAGCTGATGGGTTTGAACTGTGTGCCTTTAGGATTGCAGCGAAACCTCATACACTAGGCCACCAGAGCTCCCTTTTGTTGTTATTGGTTGTTGGGTTTGTGGGTTTTTATAAATCGTCTTTGATAACAGGGGCAGAAGGTTTTATAAGGGCATGGAATTTTTATATATCGATAAAACAAAAAGTTGTTCTGTATCATCTAGCTGGAACCAATTCATAGTTGACTCTCCAGCGGGTTTTCAGAGGCAATAAATTGGCATGAGAGGTGACTGCCCACCTTTCTCCTACAGAGTGACTGGTGGATTCGAACCATTCTTTACCACTAACCCATCAGTGCTCCCTAAAACAAAAATTAGTCTCTGAGATTCTTCCTAGCAGGAGGTAGGGTGGAAGTGTTGTTTATATATTAATGTTAATGGCCTTATTCTAAAGGAGCCTGGTTTCTTTCAGATGCTAATGTGTAGTGGGGAATGTTGAAACTTACTGAAGTAGCTGCTTGGGCAGTTTGAAAGGCAGAGGAAAGTCTGAGATTGTAAGACTGTGTCTGGACAGATCCTCTTCAACAATTCATATGCACTGTGTTCTGAATTTTAAAGAACCTAGCAAACTACAGAACAATCTCACTAATTTCACATGCAAGCAAGATTTTACTGAAGATGATCCAAAAACAACTGGAACAGCACATCAACAGAGAACTACCAGAAGTCCAGGCTGGGTTTAGAAGGGGTCGTGGTACTAGGGATATTGTAGCTGATGTTAGATGGATCTTAGCTGAAAGAGAATACTAGAGGAATGTCTATGTTTCATTGACTATGCAAAGGCATTTGACTGTGTAGATCATAACAAACTATGGCTGACTCTGAGAAGAATGGAACTCCCAGAACACTTGATCGTTCTAATGCGAAACTTATACTTGGACCAGGAGGCAGTCGTCAGAACAGAGCAAGGGAACACTGCATGGTTCAAAATTGGGAAGGGCGTACGCCAGGGATGCATCCTATCTCCATGCCTTTTCAACCTATATGCAGAACAGATTATCCGGGAGGCTGTGCTCTATGAGGAGAAATGTGGGGTCAGGATTGGTGGACGATTTATCAACAATCTGCATTATGCGGATGACACAACCCTGCTTGCTGAAACTGAGGAGGACCTGAAGCGCCTGCTGCAGAGTGGCAAGGACTGCAGCCTACAATATGGATTGAGGCTCAATGTCAAGAAGACAAAGATTCTCACCACTGGACCAATTGGCAGCATCAGGATGGGTGGTGAAGAGACTGAGATTGTACACAGCTTTAGTTTGCTTGGCTCCATAGTCAGCAGTCTTGGCACCCAGCAGCCAGGAAATTAAAAGGCGCATTGCCATGGTAAAGTGTGCTGTTAGGGACCTCTCCAAAGTACTGAAGAGCAATGGTGTCTCTCTGGAGACTAAGGTGCGTCTGATACAGGCCATGGTCTTCACAATCACTTGTTATGCATCAGAGAGTTGGACTGACCAAGGAGCATAGAAGGAGAATTGATGCCTTTGAGCTGTGGTGCTGGAGAAGAGTATTGAGAATACCATGGACTGCTAGGAAAACAAAAAGATTTGTCCTGGAAAGGGTTAAACCGGGTGGCTCCTTGGAGGCAAGGATTCTGAGGCTCCGTCTAACATACTTTGGACATGTTGTGAGGAGAGACCGGTCCTTAGAGAGGGACATAATGCTTGGGAGGGTGGAGGGACAGCGCAGGAGAGGAAGGCCCTCTGTGAGGTGGATTGATTCAGTGACTGGGATAATTGGGATGGGAGTGTCGGAGACAGTGCGATTGGCACAGGACAGAGCAGAGTTTAGGGCTGTTGTACATAGGGTCGCTATGAGTCGCAAGCGACTCGACAGCACATAACAACAACAACAGCCTATTTCAGTTGTTGTGTTGGTGTTGTGTACTGTTGAGTGTGAACCAACCCATAGCTGACCCTTCATTGGGTTTTCAGAGGCAGTTAATTGCACATGAGATGGCCCTTCTTTCTCCTTTGGAGCAGCTGTGTATTTGAACCACACTTTCGTAATTGACAGGCAGCGACTTTGACCTTTAATGGTTTGCTTTGGTTGTTTATCTTTTTGTTGTGAAGTTGTAGGAGTTAAAATACTTTAAATACTTGATATTCTTAGAGATTCTTGCTGTCTTTAGGGAGTCCTGGTGGGGTAGTGATTAAAGAATTTTGACAAATAATCAAAAGGTTGAAGATTTGAACCCACCAGCTGCTTTGCAGGGAATCTTCTGCAAAAATATTACAGCCTCGGAAAATCTTACAGGCGGATCCTCCAGGGTCACTACAAGTCAGAATAAACTTGGTAGTGGACTTAGGCTTTCTCTGATATTTTTATAGCTAAACATTTTATGTTCAGTTTGTTCATTTTTCAATTTTTTGTATCAAATTAAGTATAAAACTAGATTAATTTATTTATTTTCATGATTATTGCTTCCTTTTTAGGATACAGAGAACCGAAAAATAGAAAACAAGTTTCGCAAGTATGTGGAGAAATTGAAAGTCTCATTCATTACTGGACAGATTACTTTTCTGTTTTCATGAGTAATAAAACTGTAGTTTCCAATAAGAAACTTTATTCTGAAAATGAGGTTTCTTGGGAATGTAACTGCTTTCTTATTTGGTGATTTTCACTCTTACTTCCTAGGATTGCAGGTAGAAGGTGTGTATGTCAAATGCCTAAAGGACTTGGAAATTTTTTTCATTCTGAATGTTTATGAAGAAATTAAGGATTGACTGGAATACAGTATAGGAAGTGGATGTCTTTGTAGTTAACTAGAGCTGGAAATTTTTTTTTTAAAAAGTGGTTTTTATGTAAAAATGTTTTAAGAGGAAAAATATGTTTTCTCTTTATACTTTATTCTGCTCTAGGAAAACTTCACCAAGCAAGCGAGACCCAGAATGTGATTGCATCAGACAAAGCCGCAGAAGTGCCAGTTGTTCACGAACATGAACATAGCCCTGACCACCATACACAGCTGCATGCCTATATTGGCGTTTCCCTTGTGCTGGGCTTCGTTTTCATGTTGCTGGTAGACCAGATCGGCAGCTCCCATGTGCATCCTGCTGACGGTGAGTGGCCCCAAGACTGTGGACAGTGCATCAGTCTGCAGTGTAGAAAGTCACAAATGATCAAATCGGTTCTTTATCAGTAACCTTATTTTAATATAGTAACCAAAAATATGATGTAGTTATGTGTCATAACAAAAAAAAAACCCCAACCCAAAACTCATTGCCATTGATTTGGAATCAACTTACAGCTGACATAGTCTCCAGCAGGTTTTTGGAGCCTGTAAACCGCCTGGGAAAGGATCACCCAGCTTGCCCCTGTGGAGCTGCTGGTGGACTTGAACCACCGGGGCGTTCTGCCTTTTGGTTAGCAGTACAGCTCGGTACTGACGAGGCCACCTGAGCTCCTGTAGTTATGTACACCTTTTCGCAGTCTGTGTAGGAGCCCGGGTTGTGTAATATGTCAGGTGACAAGCTGCTAATCAGAAACTAGCAATTCAGATCCACCAGCTGAAATCTGGATAATGTGCTTCCATAAAAATTTATGACCTCAGAATCTAATGGAAGGTAGCTATTAGAGTTGATATAGTAGTGGCACTGTTGTTGTTATGTGCTATGAATTGGATCCCACACTTAGTTGACTCTCCCCGTGGGTTTTCTGAGGCAGTAAATTCAAGAAAGTAGATTTCCCATCTTTTTCCCCTGGAGCAGCTGGTGGATTCAAACTCTTAAGTCTTTGGGTTGGCAGCTCAACTCCTTACCACTAAACCACCAGAACTGGTGTGTGTTGTTAGGTGCTGTTGAGTCACCTACAGTTCAGATAGATCCTATGAACCAAGGAACCGTTCCCTGTCCTGTGCCTATTTTCATTCTCTCTAAAATATTTGAGCCCCTATACTTGAGTCACTGTGCATCTTGTTGAGGGTCCTCCTCTCTTTTGCTGACTTTCCACCTTTTCCGTAATGATATTCTTTTCTAAGGACTGGCTCCTAACATGCCCAGGGTGTGTGAGATGAAGCTTCACTAGCCTTGCCTCTAGGAAGCTCCCTGGTTGCACTCTCTGTAAGACACACTGGTTTGCTCTTTTGGCAGTCCATGGGTTACTCAGAACTGTAACAGTTCAAGTCAGAGGCATCGATTCTTCTGTCATCCTTTCAGGTACATAACAAGTCCAACTTTCAGGTGCATAACAAGTAACTGAAAAGACCATAGCTTGAATCAGATGTACTTTACTCTTTTTTTTTTTTCAGATGTATTTTAATCTTAAACTAACATCACAGCTCCTTAACACCTCGGAGAATGGCAGTCAATGAGTACTAAATAATATGAACACATTTCAATCATAAGTAAAGGTTAAATTTTATGTTTTAAGACATCAATTTGACAGATATTGTTGGTTAGCTTAAGGACACTAAACTATGGAGTAGTCTTTAATAAATAGTACCAGGCTTGACATCTAGTTGATTTTTAACTCTCTGCCCCTTAGTGGCTACTAGAGTGGAGAATTCTGATACACAGATATTTTCTTACAAATGCACTTAAACAGATTCATAGGTTGTTTTTCTACGGAAAGATAAGCTGCTTTTATGGACAATTATTATTCTCCAAGACTTTGGGCTATTATTACTCTCTAAGACTTTTAATACTTCAGTCTTGCTAATTTTTTTCTTAAGATCAATACATGTCTCTTGGACTGGATCAGCATCTACTATTGGCATATATTGGGAGGAGGAGAGATTCCAATTCACTTTTGAATTGGACACCATGACAGAAATTAATTTGAAAGGATTATAAATCTTTTCAAGTATTTATAGAAACCTCTTTTCAAGGATTTGGGGAGGGAATGTTGCTGATGGAAAACACTAGAAAGCAGTATAAGCATCTTGCTCCCCAGTGTGAGATGAGGTGAGCTTTGCTGTTCAATGACTGAATGATTGTGAGGTGCAGAGTTGCCTGATAGCTGCCCAGCTTGATTGCATATAGTATCCATAGACATTGAGTTGAACAGAAGATTTCAAAAGGCAGCGGGATGACAAAGTAAAATTGAAATGTGCAAGGAGTTGGAGTCAGAAATTCAAAAGGGCCGAACTCACTCAGCATTTCTTAAGCTCAAGGAACTGAAGAACAAATTCAAACCTTGAGTTGCTATAATCAAGGATGCTTTAGGCAGAATATTAAATGATCCAGGAAGTATTAAAAGAAGATGGCAAGAATATACTGAGTCACTGTATCGAAAGGAATTGGCAGACACAGAAGAATTTCATGAAACATATGAGCAAGAGCCTATGGTGATGAAGGAAGAAGTTCAAGCTGTTTTGAAGGAAATGACAAAAAATAAGGCCCCAAGAATAGATAGTATACCAATTGACATATTTCCGCTAACAAATGCTGCCCTGGACGTGCTCACGGAGTTGTGCCAAGAAATCTGGAGAACAACCACTTGGCCAGCTGACTGGAAGAGATCTATATTTGTTCCCATCCCAAAGAAGGGTGACCCAACAGAGTGTAGAAACTAGAGAATAATATCATTGATTTCACATGCAAGCAAGATTCTACTGAGGATTATCTAAAAATGACTGGAACAGCACATCAGCAGAGAACTGCTAGAAGTCCAGGCTGGGTTCAGAAGGAGTCGTAGTACTAGGGATATTGTAGCTAATGTTAGATGGATATTGGCTGAAAGCAAGGAATACCAGAGGAATGTCTATCTGTGTTTCATTGATTATGCAAAGGCATTTGACTGTGTGGATCATAACAAACTGTGGCTGACTCTGAGAAGAATGGGAATCCCAGAACACTTGATCATGCTAATGAGAAACCTGTACTTGGGCCAAAAGGCAGTCGTCAGAACAGAGCAAGAAAACACTGCATGGTTCAAAATTGGGAAGGGCGTTTGCCAGCGATGTGTCCTGTCTCTATACCTTTTCAACCTGTATACAGAACAGATTATCCGGGAGGCTGGGCTCTATGAGGAGAAGTGTGGTGTCAGGATTGGTGGAAGATTCATCAACAGTCTGCGTTATGCAGATGACACAACCCTGCTTGCTGAAATGGAGGAGGACCTGAAGTGCTTGCTGCAGAGGGTCAAGGACTGCAGCCTCCAATATGGACTGAGGTTCAATGTCAAGAAGACAAAGATTCTCACCACTGAACCAATTGGCAGCATAAGAATGGATGGTGAAGAGATTGAGATTGTTCACAGCTTTAGTTTGCTTGGCTCCACAGCCAACACTCTTGGCACCAGTAGCCAGGAAATGAAAATACGTATTGCGATGGAAAAGTCTACTGTTAGGGACCTCTCCAGAATATTGAAGAGCAGTGGTATCTCTCTGGAGACGAAGGTGCATCTGATACAGGCCATGGTCTTTGCAATCACTTGTTATGCATCAGAGAGTTGGACAGTGACTAAGGAGGATAGAAGGAGAATTGATGCCTTTGAGCTGTGGTGTTGGAGAAGAGTATTGAGGGTACCATGGACTGCTAGGAAAACAAACAGATTTATCCTGGAAAGGGTTAAACTGGGTGGCTCCCTCGAGGCAAGGATTCTGAGACTCCATCTAACATACTTAGGACATGTTGTAAGGAGGGCTTGGTCCTTGGAGAGGGACATCAAGCTTGGTAAGGTGGAGGGACAGCGCAGGAGGGGAAGGCCCTCTATGAGGTGGATTGATTCAGTGACTGGGGTAATCAGGATGGGTGTGTCAGAGACAGTGCGATTGGCACAGGACAGAGCAGAGTTTAGGGCAGTTGTACATAGGGTCGCTATGAGTCGCAAGCGACTCAATGGCACATAACAGCAACATCCATAGACAGGGAAATTGCAGTCATGAGGTAGTTTGAATAACTCTTTCATTTGAAGGATTGAGAAATTTAATATTTTAAGATACTTTTGACAGCTGTGAAATAGTATGAAGTTCTATTTTTCTTAGTGATAAATAAGTTTGAGATTATGCTGATACTTCTTACATACAAAAAGCAGGTAGAACAGTACATTGACAGAACTGCCAGAAATTTAAGCTGGATTTAGGAGAAGGCATGACACCATCAATATCTTTGCTGATGTTAGAAGGATCTTAGCTAAAAGCAGAAACTACCAGAAAGATGTCTATCTGTCTTGACTAGGCAGTCTTTGTACTGTGTGAATTATGACAAATTATGGCTAACATTCAAAGAGTGGGAATCATGGACCACTTAATTATGTTCATCCAAAACCTATACTTAGACAAGAAGCAGTTGTCAGAACAGGGCATGGGAACACTGCATGGTTTAAAATCAGGAAAGGTGTGCATCAGGACTATATCCTTTCTCCATACCTATTCATTCTGTATGTTGAATAAATCATCTGAAAAGATGGACTTTATAATGAAGAAAGAGGCATCAGAATTGGAGGAAAACTCATCAACAATCTGTGTTATGCAGATGACCCACCTTGCTTGCTGAAATTGAAGAGAATTTAAGATTCTTGCTATTGAAGATCAAATACTACAGCCTTTAATATGAATTACATCCCAACATAAAAAAGATGAAAATCCTCACCATTGGGTCAGTAGGCAACATCGTGATAGCTGGAGGAAAGACTGAAGTTGTAAACTGTTTCGTCTTACTTGGTTGGGTCCATAGTCAATACCATGGGTAGGTGCCAGCAGCCAGGAAATCAAAAGATGTGCTGCACTGGGGAAATCTGTGACAAGGACCTACCTCCCCAAAGTGCTGGAGAGTAATGATTCCAGCTTAAGGACTAAGGTGCACCTGATCCAAGCCATGGTCTTTTAATTACTTGCTATGCATTTGAAAGTGGACAATGAATAAGGATGAGAGAAGCATCAATGCCTTAGAGTTGTAGTGTTAGAGAAGAACACTGACTTTTTGGACAGCCAAAAGAACCAGCAGATATATTTTGGACAAAGTGTGGCTAGGCTGTTCCTTGGAGGCAAGGAAGGTTAAGCTTTGTTTCACATACTTTGGAAATGTTGTTAGGAACAGCCAGTCGTAGGAAAAGAATGTCATACTTGGAAAGGTGCAGAGTCAGCATGAGAGAAGAAGATCCTCAACAAGACATATTG